GGGAGCTGGGGGAGTTTCTGGGGGGCCGTGGGGCCCTCCTGGGAGCTGGGGGAGTTTCTGGGGGGCCGTGGGGCCCTCCTGGGAGCTGGGGGAGTTTCTGGGGGGCCGTGGGGCCCTCCTGGGAGCTGGGGGAGTTTCTGGGGGGCCGTGGGGCCCTCCTGGGAGCTGGGGGAGTTTCTGGGGGGCCGTGGGGCCCTCCTGGGAGCTGGGGGAGTTTCTGGGGGGCCGTGGGGCCCTCCCGGGAGCTGGGGGAGTTGCTGTGGAAGGCCTCGCCCTGCTGGAGGCTCAGCAGCAGGAGCCAGGGTCGGGGATGAGCTGCCAGGGTTTCCTGCGTGCCAGCGAGGCCACGGACTCCCACACCCGTCAAGGGCCCTGCCCCAGGCTCTGGGTCAGTGGGACACCACGCTTCCCAAGCCAAGGAGAAGCCCAGGCCTCCACCACTGCTGCCGCCAGTCCCCCACAACTCGGCCTGGGCGACCTTTGCCCTGGGCGCCGCCTGGGGGCTGTGGCGGGCCCTGCCTCTGCAGCCAAGCCTGTCGGTCCCCACTGGCTTGGCAGCTGGGACTCCAAAGAACTGCTCAGGCCCGGCCGGCGGGACTTAGTGGCTGAGCATCGACCTATGAACCAGGAGGTTGTGGTTCCATTGCCGGTCGGGGCACATGCCCGGGTTGCAGGCTCGATCCCTAGTCGGGGGTGTGCAGGAGGCAGCTGATCAATGGTTTTCTCTCATCATGGATGTTTCTATCTCCCTCTCCCTCTCCCTTCCTCTCTGGAATCAATAAAAGTGTAAGAAAAACACAAAGAAACTGCTCAGGAGGGAGGGTTGAGGCTGCGGGACACGGAAGGCCCAGGCCTCCTGTCTGAGCAGCAGTAGGTGCAGGGGCGGGCGGGCCAGGGCGTGGGGCGTGCTGCCTGGGGCGCTTCCTGGAGCACTTCCACTGCCAGGTATTTGGCCCAACCAGCTCTTCTGGCTCCGGGTCAGCCTGGGCGATGCCTGCCCTGTCGCTGGGCTAAGGTGACAGTGGAGGGTCGGAGACACCAACCGCAGAACCAGGTCCCTCCAGGCCACCACTTCTGTGTGCTCACTTCCCAGGAACCCCGAGGTCCAGCACTGGGGGGAGGGGCACCTCACACCGTCCAGGGCCCAGAAGGTCACCTGCAAGGTGCAGGGGAGGCAGCAGGTGCAGCTCCCCCCGCCCCGTGCGCTCTGCCCCAGGGCTGCCCAAGCTCAGAGGTGGTGCCAGCTCTCCCGTCACCCTGCCCCCAGGATGTCCAGCTGGGTCCGAATGCAGTGACTCAGCCCGGGGCTGGGCCCAGCCTGCTAGACCCTGCTGGGGCCTCCTCGGGCGTCCACACCTGCCAGGGTCCCCCTGCCCAGCGGGGTTTGAGGTCAGGGTCAAGGGTCCTTCTTGCCCTCCACTCGCAGATGGACCACCTCCTGGGAATCTTGTCCCTCCCCTGGGCCCTGGGGGCAGGGCCAGACCCCAGCCGCTCAGGCTTTGGGCCACTCACCACCCGTGGGCCAGGCCAGCCACTGGGTCTGCTATGTGGCTCCCCAACCCCCCACATACTTGGAGCAGAGGCTCACACATTTTTTTTGGGCCCGGGGAGGCCCTGTGGGGGCCCTCACCCTGACCGCTCTGGCTGAGGGGATCCAGGCCAACCAGGGGCAGCCCACCAGACCCCCTCCCCAGCGCCCTCAGCCCCAACCTGAGCTCCAACCTGAGGCAGAGCCTGGAAGTGTAGCCGCAGCCACCCCCACAGCTGCCGGGGAGCCCCACTCCCCTCCCCACGGGCAGGAGCCAGCCCCTGAGGGGGCCCATCAGGTGAGTGGGAGGGAAGGAAGGCTGGGGGGTGGCCTGGGGGACAGGGATCTGAAAAGGGGGGCAGCTGGGGGCAGGCATGGGAGCTGCTCTGAGTAACAAGAGGGCAGGGACTTCATGGGGTCGGGGGGCGGTGGGAGGAGGACTGGGAGAGGCAAGGGGACTTCATACACCCCACCCACCCGCTCCAGGCCCCCCAGAGCTCCTGGGAGGAGGGGGCCCTCTCTGACCTGGCGCTGTACATGGCGGCCTGCCTGGAAGAGGCTGGCCTTTCAGGGACACAGGCGACGGCGCTCACTCTGTCCTCAGCCCTGGAAGCCCGGGGGCAGCGGCTGGAGGACCAGGTGAGCCCCAACCCTTCCTGCCCCGAGGCCCCTGCCTGGTCCCCTCCGAGGTGGGGGGTTGGAGCGGCAGAGGGGACGTCCGTCCGGGGTCAGGAGGCCCGGTCACTGACGCCTGCCTGTCCACACCAGGTGCACCCTGGTGCTG